CATGAAGATACATAAACAGAACAATGTTACAAGTATGCAGTGAAATAAATGATAGCAAAATTTTGCCAAATGGTATCTGTCTGCAAGTATGCACATATCTGTATGTGCACATGGGTATTTGCAAGTATATATACTGGCAATTATGACATTTTACCATCCCAAAGTCTCAGCTGATAGTTTTAAGGGAATTGCACACAGAATRTCTCAAGAATATTTTCCTTTGATCAAAGCTGATATTTCAGTCAACCACTGAACCAAATAAAAAGTGAAAGGTGGTGTTATTAAAATATGATTGAAAGGAAGAAGGGTTGGTAGTGCATTTAAAGAAGATATTATGAGATATCTTTTAATTTATTTATCTAAAACAACTTTAAAGTCTTGCCATTCTGGTGGCTATCCTTCTCCTGTAGCATTTAAAACCTTCACAGGATCAAAGGCCATGTGGCACGCACTATATACCCTGAGATCTGAGGGGCACAGGAAACTCCAGGAATAATTCAGAGCACAAGGGTGATAAAAGTGCAATATTAGAGATATATAGATAGGGAATCCACCTATCCTGCTGTAATTTGGGGAAGCGCAGAGCACTGAGCTTGGTGTTACATTTCCTGCTGATGTTGGGTTCCCCCACGCTCTGCTTGCTCACCTCCTCCTGCAGCCAGAAGCTTCCTTATCCAGCTGTGCCGTGCCAGGACAGCACAGCTGGCAGCCTTGTGCTGTGGTCTGATATTGAGAACTGCATCTGAAATCACTCGCAAGCCACAGCTGAAAGGCCACAAGCTTCCTCACCGCAGGCTATCAGATATATGGAAGTGTTTAAACAAAGCCAGTTTCAAAGGCCAGAGTAATTTTTGGTTCTGATCCTTTTGGCCTTGGTGCAACTCCAGAGAGCTGAGCAGTCATAAAGTGCAAGCTGTAGAATGCATTTTGTATATCTAATCYGGTTTCACCACCTAAAGCAGTAGAATTAAAAAGCAATCAGACAAAGAGTAGTTCTTAATCACTACTCCTTGGTAGGGTGGGAAAGGGCAAGAGAAATGAAACCACTATGAATATCAAACTAGCCAAGATCTCRTTAAATGAATATGATCTAAAATGCTTAAACTATTGGCCCACCTCAGTGCCTTCAGGGAACTCCTCACATGTGGCTCTCGTCATTCCACTGCCTCCCCTGGAAAAAGACATTTGAGGGCTTATCAAATGTCAAGCCATTTTCTCAGGCACYCCCAGGAGAACATGTCACAGATGGCAGAAAGCAGGGTTGGCACAGTGAGAGGAAGGACTAAGAATCACCCAGAGCTTCCAAGAAGCATTCCCCAAAACAGATGCAGCAGAGTTGCAGGTGTTCTCCACTGCACAGAGCTGGGATGTGCTCATGTCTCAGAGTACAGTGCACCACTGGGCTGCAGAAATGTGAAATGAAGATAACCTGTCTTGCTTACAGATAACTTCTTGGGACCCTGATAGCAACATAGGATGACAGCAGCACAGGGCTCAGCCCAGGACAACTTGTTCTTCACCATGCTGTTCATTCMAACTGCTTCTCACCCTTGAGTTAGCCACACACTTCTGCAGCTTCCTTCGGGTCAGCACTCGGTGGACCCCGGAATAAACAAAACCAGTAGGAACTGACATCATTCCCCATGAACCAAGGAGGATATGGGATATCTGTACAGCTTCAGAGGGACTCTCTGGGCTTACAGAATGGCAAACAGAGTATTATTTCCCTTAAGAGACCTTTCCAGGAGAATTTTCACATACATTTCCTAACCAGGAGGATATCACATAAGTTTTACCATGGGAAGGAGAAACCTGGGGCATTCTGATAACCTGGAAAAACCTGTTTAAGACTTCTAAGCTTAGGGCATCTGTGTGTGCATATAAAATATTCTTAAAAGGTGGGTGTATGCATGKAACAACTACATCAGATTGTACACACTTCCACCTCCTACGAAATTCTTTATGCAAAGGAGGGAAACTACATGTAAAAGAGAGAACTCCAATTGTCTGTATCAAGATAGACACAAGTTTCAGGAAATTATTTTGGCACAAGACTTGGAATACTAAATTGAAATACAATGATAAAGCACAGAACCATGACACATCTTCAGTTTAGATAAGGCTGCATARCATAAAACTGTAGAACACTTTTTATGCCATGTCAGGTGGCCACAGATTCCTGCCAGACAAATGACAGCTAACAGACATCAGCACTTCCAGATCATAAATCACACAAACCAATTGTAATATTCAGAAATTCTAACTTTCAGGAGCTCAAGTTACTCTATGGGTGGGCAGAACAAAATAGACTTTGAAATCCTTCAGGAAGTACAAGACTTAAAATATGGGAACCAGGCTGATTTTTC